GGGTGTAACGACCATTGATGAAATACAACAAATACATCCATGTTTTGTTCGGATTAAATGCATAACAGGTAACTATGGTTATCGAGTGTATAAAACTGACTGATGTATGAAGACATTTTTTGTTTATGAAACTATGCAACTAAACAGTTGATCTTTAAATCATCACGTGTATATTATCATAAAATGTATTTCAAGTTTATATGAACAACTAGTGAAAAATATTCAGCTTGAAAAGTGAAGAAGATACAGGAAATATTACAAAATCGGAGTAATCGATAGTTTTGTACACTTCGAACCTGTATAATAACATATCTACAGTCGACTAGTCAAAAAAAAAACAATATGCATAAAGGATGGAAAAATCAGAACGATCTTTGCCATATCCGAGACATAGGCTTTGTTAAAACATGAGTATATTAAACACGTGGAGAACCAACAATTCTTACTAACGTGTTTTTAGCTATCAATAGACGCGTTAGACCTAGAGACACATGATCATTTTCTGTTGTATATTGCATTAGAAGACAATAAATCTGGTATAAACTTTTCAATATTTTGATACTCAGCCAAATCCAAAAATATAAACAATTATTTAATACAGAGCATCTTCTTATACAAACGTATATATATCCTACTCCTGAAGAAGAATTGATTAAGGGTCTGTGATTGGCCAATTAATGATTAATTCGTTGAATTCTCAATCAAGATTTTCGAAAGTACTATTTCAGAATAATTTTTCGTTCGACCAAAATTTGTCATAAAAACCAATCTGTGGAAAACATTGTTTTGTTTTGATCTTCCCGGACTTTTTATCTATAGAATGTCTCGTTGAAGATTTATGAAGTCTTTCCCGAAAGTTTCGATTTCAACGAATTCATTTAAAATTAGTACGAGTAGTATTACTCTACTAACCTGAATAGCCATGTAAGAATTTACTTTTAATTGTACTTTTACATCGATCTTAAATACTAATTTATACTACTAAGCTTTTTTGTTTTTATGTCAACATTTCCAATGTAGATATTGCTTGTTTCTTTTTTTCTTTTTTTCATTGTTATAAATCCAACCTTGTTATGATTATGAGACTTCAATTAATTGGAAATAAACATATTCTTCAAGTTTATAGATGTGAAACCAGATGTTTTTCCATGCAAAAAAAGTGTGGCCGAACACTCTTGCAATCAGTGTTTCTAATGGAAATCTAAAATAAAATGTACCGTACACGCTGTTTTCAATGAACAAAGTGTACAAATTAATTTGTTTTTATAAGCAAAATGTACAAAGTGTACAATATCATAGTTTTATATAATCTAAAATGAAAAAATGTTCACAACTTATTTTTTCAGTAATAAAGACGAATAACAAATACAACAATAGAATAAGTACAAAAACAATCTGTATCTGATTTATTAGAGAAGATTGTCGAACAAAAAAAATACAACACTAGAATATTACATGAGCATGAGGAACAATTATTTACTATTTTCAAAAGTTAACGTAATCTTCAGTCATTTTGAACCATCAATATCTTCATCGTCGTCATCATCATTATACATATCCACATGATCTGCACAAAACCAAATTGAATCTGTTGTAATTTTCAGTTTTATTCGACAACCGTTGCATAACCATCTGGAGCAGTTTTGGTCGAATTCAATATCTTCAAATTGATCATTTTGATGACAACATTGTATAGCTTCCATTTGTGTTGGATCATCTCCAGAAATACTGGTTTTGCATCCGTTTGCACCTGAAACAAAACTTACAACAGATTTAGAAAGATGTGTATCTATGACTTACATTTAATTGCCTTCGATTTAGAATTTTTTATCTTCTTGTAAATAATTTGAGATCCAATTAAAGACGACGATCGTTTAACAACTGAACGAGCCTGTTTCATTGGTTGATAATCATCATCAACATCAGCTAATGTTTGAATTTCATGAAAACGACGTTGATGATCTTTTGAATTCCATAATTTAAAAGCTTCAGTTACCACAAATTGACACCTAGAGCTACAAAGCAATATTTATTTCATAAATCAAATGTTAAACAACTAGTAATCTTACCTTCTAATATCATCTTTGAGAAGCATACGCACGATCATTAACATATTTAGTGTTGATATCGTCAAACGAGATCTTCCGACCGTTTGAATTCGATTAATGGCCGAAAACTAAAAAGAACAACAAAACAACGATGTGATATAAGATGAAAATATGAAGTATCTCATACTCCTCTTTCACACTCAGCACTGTTTGTTGGTGCAATCAGATAAATATTGAGTAAAATTAAAATATTTTTGTATTGATGAACAAAATTATTATCTGTTGCTTGTTTTATGCCAATAAAAGTTTTCCAGAATAATGATTCTGTACCAACAGATAAAGAATTATTTATAAACTCAATAATACATTGTTTCATTGATTCCCATTCATGTATAACAGCATTAGAATCGAATTCCGGGTACATTTTGTATTTTTTACGAAGAAAATTCAGTTGTGATCGACCATAATGATTGGAATTCAATTTTTTACTGTTGTTGATGAGATATTGAGGATCAAATAATACACTTAAGCTTTCCTGCAGTAGAGAAGGCTTGAAACGTTTATCTAGCTGTTGAATTAACCGTTCTATATGACCAAGACAATCTTTCTCAAAATTTTCACGATCACCTAATTTAATTTTGAATCCACCAAAACACCCTGATTCAGTAGATTCAACATAATCACAAAGTGATGGACCCATAATCAATGATGACTGAGATGTCCAAGAGCTTAAAATTTTTCGTTTTTCAGCTAAAACATCCATCAAGGTAAAGTATGACAGATTATCACGCTGCATCATTTTAGTTACAGGACCTAAGATATCGAAAACAAAAATTTTCATAAAATAGAAAAACTATTTGATACATATCTAATAAATGCAGAGACGTACCAAGTACTATTTGATGTAAATCATGATGCATGTGTAACAAAAATAAAAATTCATCATCTAAAATCGAGTTTAATAAACCTTGTGCATTTTCACGTTCAATTTTAGATGTATTTATATCCAACGCGATTTGTTGTAAACAAGTTAAAAGTGCTTGAGAACCTAAATAAAAAGATTCTTATCCTAGTTTTTTTGTGGCTCCTTAACTTGCAAAAACCTGGATAAACATTATCTATTATGGGTCTAATACACCCGCCAATTGATAACCAACGAATATCAAATATTTTTTTCATTTTTAGTTCTGGCATTTCCATAAATGCCTGCCAAGATTTCAATTTGAATTGACGACCACTACTTCTTCCAAAAAAGTTATAAATACCAGAAATAACTGTTTCTAATTTGACAATAGATTCTGCACGAGCAGGTTGTTGATTATCTTAAAAGAATATTTGAAATTTAAATTTGGAATGCAAAAAATACATACTTGTGGACTTTTCTAAATATCCCGCTTCGCTACCAGCAAGTGAAAATGTGTGTGCTACACACGGGCTAGATTCAATCCATTCAGCCCCTAAATAACGTTTTAGTTTAGCTATCACGCCTTCACGCACCCCTAAAACAAAATATTGCAGCGAAAAAAGCTTAATCATAAAACAGAATGGCGCTTACCGGTAAATGTCGAGGCGTTGTCGGTAGCTAACCAACATGATTTTGTTGGAAAAAGATCATCTTTGTTCCACATGTTGGTTAATGCATTCATAATATTACTCGCAGTGCCATCGCCATCTAAGTTTAACAAGCAATAAAAAGCTGTTTTAGGTTCGTAATTTTCCACAAAACGAACATACACAATACAGGATTTTTCATTACTTCTGGACGTTGATTCGTCCAACATCCAGCCTATAATATGAAAGGCAACAAATTATTTGATCTGTAAAATGGATGAAAGTACCAGTAAAAAAGTATATAAATGATCAGTTTAAAGGTTGAATGATCAGTTAAGATGTTGAATGATCAGTACTTAGATTACCAGTAAATAATATGAAAATGATCAGTTTATTATACAGAATAGCAGTAAAAAAATATCAATTGTAGCAGTAAAAAAAAGAAATTTGATAAGTAAAAAATGAAAATTTGATAAGTAAATAAGACAGATTTTACCAGTAAAAAAAGATGAAAATTATTGGCAATGTATAATATAGAATGAGGAAAATTAGAAATAAATTATTGCATTAGTAAAGCAGGGGTGTGGGTGTGGGTAGGGATGTGCAGTTTCAGTATACTGATCACCGACAAAGTCACACTGACGTTCACTGGCGCAGTGACTGCACCGACACTGATGTTCACTGAGCCAGTGACTGTACCGACACTGATGTTCGCTGAACCAGTGACTGCACTGACACTGATGTTCACTGCACTGTAAAAAATTGCAGTTAGAGCAAGATTTATTATTCTACCTTTTTTTCATACAGTACAGTGAACATCAGTGTCGGTGCAGTCACTGGCTCAGTGAACATCAGGGTCAGTGCAGTCACTGGCTCAGTGAACATCAGTGTCAGTGCAGTCACTGGCTCAGTGAACGTCAGTGTCAGTGTGGCACTGTCGGTATTTCAGTATTTCCACTGAAACTGCACATCCCTAGGTGTGGGTGTTAGTTGAGAGAAGATGAACACCCACACCCACACCCACACCCACACCCACCCCACCAGCATTATCAAACACAGCTTCTTTGACCTCAATATTTTGTTCTTTTTTTCTTCTTTTGAGGTTTTTCATTACTTTCTTTATAAACTTCTTCATCTGATAAATCA